AAGTTAATTATGGGCAAACAATTTTAGGACAGCGCCCTAAATCTTTCTTTGGAGATGAGTTTTTGTGTACAAAACTACCAAATTTCAGAATTCCACAGAAGCTAGGAGATAGTCTGGCTGTTTATGTATGTATATAATTTGGTATTTATGTATTGTAGTGTTTATCTTGCAACTGAGGGTTGCTTTGAATATGGTTATTCTCTTAATTTGATTTGGTAAGTTTGAGTAGTTTAGAAGAAACCATGACAGAATTTTGTACTGCACTCTTCTAAAATCTTAGTGCACTATAAAAGGTGACACAAGTTATTTCAGTTAATTGTTGGGGATTCTGAGAAAGAAAGATAGATAGATAGATAGTTCTTTTGGCAATGGTTGATGTTGAAAGTTTTGAGAAACTCAAAGCTACCCAGCAATCATTAAAGGCTAGCCTAGAGAAATCTACAGCTCTTTCTTCAGCTATTGATGAAACTGCAGAGAATCTCATCATTAAAGGCTAGCCTAGAGTACATTAGCAAGAACTAGTACTGGGATTGATTTTATAGAGATCAGAAGATGTAGTAGTAGCAGAAGAACCAATCCATGGTGCATCTGATGATGAAGGAATAAGGCTCTGAGTTTGACTTTGATTCTGTGATGAATTGTGATCAAACTGGTTTGTCAAGGCTGTTAGCCTCAGTCCATCACCGTAAGTACTTGGATCCGTGACCAATTCATGAACAGCCGTACGCACTTCAAGCACACTCACTACTGCAGACATGGTAGGCCTAAGCGCTGGTGCTGCATTGATGCATAAGAGAGCAACTTTAATCATCCTAATGGCCTCTTCCTCACTGACATCGGACCCCAATCTGGGATCCACCAGCTCCAATAATTCCCCTTTTTGTTGTAAAACAAGAGCCTGAAATTTAGCAGAGAAAAGAGATTTGAAAATGGAAAAGCAACTCATAGAAGGAAAGAAGGATGACCAAGTTGGAAGGAATTTGAATGAAGATCCATCTTACCCAATCCACAAGGCATACAAAGTTCTCATTTGGTCGATATTTCATGTTGCTCTTTCCAGCAACAATTTCCAATGTAACAACACCAAAGCTGTAGACATCTGCTTTGTCGGTCAAATAACCCCATTGTGCATATTCTGGCGCCATATATCCTCTGCACACAAAAAACTATTGTTTTCCTTAGCTGGGTGGAGAAAAGTTCATAAACAAAACTAGGCTCTGAAATGCAGTTCAGAGAAAAAAAACAGTATAGCTTACACAGTTCCAGCAACTCTAGTGCTAATGTGGGTGTTCTCCTCTTCGTCAAGCT